TTCAAGAATGATTACTCTTCCTGGGACAGCTGTACTACGCTCGCATTCCAAGACCGACTGGCAGTCTTCCTGATTGGATCTGAAGGTGATAGACGTAAACGTGGTGCACTGGTGATCGATAGTACAACAGGGGCAACTATTATGGTAGGAGGTTCAACACGATCCAATCACATTTCTAATTACCCAATAGCCATACACCAATACCCTCGATGCGGCATTCCTTACCAAAGATAAATTACTGCTCATGTTTAATGGCGAGGAAGAGGTCCCTAAATTTACATTCGCAATATATTCGATAGAAAGACAAGACGTTCTTGGTCGCTTTCGACTACCTATCAAGGAAGCCAACAGTGGGGAATTCTTCACCAGACCCCCTTCCACTTATGGCGACAAATGTCTGTCGACACAAGTCAAGAGATTCTTGACAGACGAATCTCTCGATATCCTTCCGGTGGAACTTTACCTCAACGATATGCCACCAAACCCGTGCTTCTTCGTGTTATCCGTCACAAAACTACTCAGAGCTATGGAGCGACTACGAGAATCGAACCCAGATCGCCTCACATTTGAATGGGACGAGTGGGGCCCAGATATTACACGCTTCCTTCCGTTCCAAAGAATGTCTCCTCCCAGCTCACGGCCTACATTCGGCTCACGTATGGCAGTGTTTTATACTCACGAGAGCGAAGAGCCCCTCCTCTCGAATCGCAAGATTGCCATTCTCGACTTTAACCCGAGACCCATCAAGAGACGCAAAGTCGAAGAGACTAGAGCGGAGAATATTGTAATTGTCGATTACGAAACGGAATGGAAAGGCCCTCAAGACGACCCAGTGATCAAGTCTAGGCTCCCTTATCGTATACTTCGCAAGGACTGGCTTGCTGATGGTGATGATTGTCACTTGGAGGCCAATACGATGATCCTTCGTCGAGTGCGTTAAACTCAATTGTGTTCTCAGATCAGCTTACTAATCTCCTGCTAGGATCACCATAGCCTTTTTCACTCTTTTATGCCACAGGACGATC